AGCAAATAGCTACTAAACTAATAACTTCTGTAAAGACAGACTTCAGGTGTGTTAACACAGTGGAATACTGAAATACTGGCAGAAAACCTCTTCAGCGTTCACAATATGTTTCTGGTTTGGGATTCTAATGACACTTTTTGTATGTACCTCCTAAGCAAGGCACATTTCAGGCTTCCAAAATACCTTTCTGTGGCTGTATGTACTGGATACACTCTGCTGTAGTCTTTAAATCTTGTTATTACAACTAAAAGTATAAGCCTCTGCCCCATATGAAGCAGAACATGCTATAACAAGATAATCTGAGTGGATTATGACTTGATAAGAGTTTTCCTGGGTTTGTGGGATTGCTACATGACTGTTTAAGAACATAAAGCTCAAAACCATGTCACCATGGTCATGAATGAGTTGAGTTTTTCCCATAGGAAGGTCTATATCCTCTTTGGGGTGCCAGAAAATTTTTTATAGCAGAAGTCTAGTTAAAAGGCTAAAAGATGACATGATAATGTTCAACAGAAAGAAAGCAGAGGAGGGAAAAGACATTACCAATATGCTAGGTTCCTACGGGCTATCTGTTAAATAAAACTCCCAACACTCACTTCAGTGAACTGTGCTAAAAAAATTAAATCCATGAACTGAATCTGTGCCCTCCTTTTTCACATTTTATTGTTTGACGAAACCTAAACCAGCAGTGCTGTGATGGTAAACAAATGGGTCATGTCACCCATTTGGTATTCCAGAGAGGGCAGTGAGAGATAGGGCAATTCTATATGACACAAATTAGAAGTCTTCATTGGTATTTGCCATTGAATACTACACTTATTCTGCATGTACCTTGTTAAAACACAATTAAAATTAGTCCTCCTTTCTCCTCTTGCAGGAAGAGCTTTATTTTCATAGTCTTTCTGCTAACGTTAGAATGGAGTATATGTAGATGTGAAATGGTTTGTGCTAATGGTCACTCCATTTTTCAACCTCTTTATTTCAACTAACTTTCAAAGTTTTCGTTGTTACTAATGTTAAAAGCTCAGCAATTCTGTGACATTCATTTCACTTTGTTTTGAATAATTTATGAATTAAAACAGTACTATATCTGGAATAATGGGTGAAATTGTGTTTCTGCTGCACATACCACGAGTTTGTGTTCCTTTGTGGCTTTTGGATAAACCCTGATCATAATACTCTATACTAAATCCACTTACAGTAGTGACTGTTAACAGCATTTTTTCTTGTTCATACATTCAATAACTGGAGTCAGTACCTTTGCTATGATAAAGCAAATATTCCAGCAGGAGCCAAAATCATCTGGAGGACAATTTGAGTTTTCAAGTATTGAGAGAGAATTCACCAGTTTACACTGAAAAGAGAATGCCTAAGAGCACTGAAGAAATGCTGATTTGACTGGTTAGAAACCAAGCATTTGTGTGAGCAAAGAAAGCCAAGTATTTTGCTCTGTGGATTAGTCAGAAAACTTTCATTGTGAGATACAGTGCTGTGAAGTGTATTTAAAGAAAGCTTTTAATTACATTTCATATTTTTCAGCTTGGTATTCTTGACAGCCATCCTGCAGAAAAGAGATGCTATTTGGGATTTAGGCAGTATGGGGGCCCAGGATAAATGACTGTAAACCAATTACCTCCCGCTTTAATGTTGTTTAGCAATTGGTGGAAGAGATTACATGTCTAGAAGCTAGCTGCAATTGTATTTTGGGTATTTTAATATACTATTTACAGGATTGCGTGGCAAGCAGGTGGGTTCTTGGTTACATTTCACTGGGGCATTTCATTATTTAAAGAGAAAAATCACAATCAGCTTCACCTCCTGTGTATGATGAGTATGTATTTTTAGTAGGCTCTCCAATGTCTGAAGGCATCTTGAGAGTAACAAAAAATCCCTGCATGCATACATTAAAATAAATAAATATTAACATAATTCTTTTAGTCTGAAGCTATTGATAGTTATTACCTTAAGGTGTAGGTACGGTACTAGTCTTCAAAAACCAGACATTGTATTGTGATAGAAATCAAAACTAATTTTACATTGATTTGCCGCGTAACAGTAGTTACACCTTAAGTGTCCTCTCTTTCTCTTTCTTTTATCTTGAAGGCTACAGTTGTGCCCTGATTGATTTACTGCTAAGGGATGTTGTTATCTGCTGCAGTATTTCTCTAATGGAAGCATAGGTGTTCTTTCCAATATGCAAAAAAAAATTTGAAACTAACATCTCTGAAAATGGTTAACTCTTACAGGAGACTAGTTAATTTTAATTCATTGTCTTCAGTGATGATTTTTTTATTGAAGCATTTAATATTCTAGTAATAGTTGCTTGAGTTGAAGAATAGATTGTAACTTCATGGCAACATTGAACTCTGCCTATCTGATGATTTAAAGTAACTTGAATCTTATCTATTTTGGTGTTTTCCTATGGTCTGACCCTTTGCATTACTTTTGTATGGTAGGTAGACAACATAATTGTATATCAGCTTTAAGATTGTGTTAATCACAGGGACTGCTAACTCATATTTGTAAGTTCTTTAAACATTTAGGAGTTTATTAGGGAGAAGGAATTAAAAGTTGTGTACAGCTTTTGCCTGAGGTTTGTAATGGAGTTCTCAAACACCATTTAGAAAGTTTGAATGTTTGCAGGTATCTTCCTGTCCTGATTTTTGGAAGCATTCACACAAATACATACCCTGACAGCTACAGTAACTGTCAAAAGCAATCCAGGGAATCATATTTATTATTACTGTTAGTGCTATCACCAGCAATAAAATCCTCAGCTGATCTCCTATTTCTGTGCTAAAATCTAACCATTCCTGTGTATATTTCTCCACTTATACCATGATAACAATAATGTGCACACTTTCTGTATTGTGCAACATATTCGAATGCATCTGTTTAATTTTGTGGTACATTTAGCGTCCTTGCTGCTAAATGCTATATAAACTAGATACAGTAAAAGCATGAGACAGTATGTTTTCTAAAACTGTCTTTATTTCAGTTAAAATTTTAGAGTTACATCTTACAGCATCTTGGGGAGTAAAGTCCCACCTATATTCAATGGGAACAGGGCACGCAACTCACATTTAAAAATCCCTGCTTGGATTTATTGAACTCTGTCCTCTTCTGCTATTTGTATGAAACTACTTGCTTCAGAAAAGTTTAAATGGGGATACCTGCAGTCTTTGACATATTATATCTTAGCTAAAAGAAATAGATATTGGCTTTGCTATGGCTGTAACAACATCTTTTACTCTTAGAACAAGCTATCTGCTTAGCTCTGAAGGGGCAGGTTTTATATTCAAGATCTTATGGCAAGTCACATTTTGTAAGTGGTGTCATGATGGAGTTGTTTCACAGAACTATCGTGAGACCATTGATTGATTTACCTCTCAAATGTTTCGCTGTTCATAGGAACCGAAGCAGAATCATTAATCTGTCCTTTGTATACCATACCAATTTCCTAAGTTACTCAGTTTCACAACTTCTGGTATTTGTCCACAGGGATACACAAAGCTATGTACATCCCCACAGCTCCTTTGAGCTATTCACAGTGTTAAGGTAGGGGCAACCCTGCCTGCTTTTTCTCAGGTTTGACTGATACATAGTGGCATTAATTCACTGTGATCTTCTTCAGGTTTTTCTAAGTGTTCCTGCTACAAGCAACCTTTCATATATAAATGTATGCATATAAATATGGTAGTTTTTATAGGTAATAACTATAGTAAATGCATATCTAGTAAATACAGATTATTTGTATGATTAAATAAAATGCACTGGTGGTTATGGGTCTTCTTCCTGGACTTGTGATTTTACCATACTCCACTGTCATAGTGGTTTCACTTCAATTCTTTTTGGAGAGGAAACGAGCTTTATTTTTGCAAAGAGCAAATATCTAAATTCTATGCAAGGTAATTTCAAGCTTCCTTTCCAATTAATCAATCCATCTGCTAATCTTTCCTGCCAAACCCATATCAGTAAAGGCAAGGAGAAAATGTATGAAATATATACAGAGTATTTTCATTTATGTTTATGGAGCGGAGCATCTCAGGGTGTCCCATGGCTGTGTGTAGAATGTGCTTAGAAAGTAACAGGTTATCAGTATGTTTGTAATTAACTTTGAAATGGATTCCTTTTGCTTCCTGCTGTCACATACAGGGGACTCATGGGGACAGGTTGCAAATATGATTGAATAGAGCCTAGAACTTTTTTAGCACTGTTTATTCCAGAAGGTCTCTAAATGCATGTATTTGCAAGGCAACAGTACAGTTTATTCTTCTGTGTGTGTCCTTCTAGCATGTAACAGATGTGATGTAGGTATCAGAAAATCAGTATTGCAATACATGTTCATGTAGAATTTTAAATCCACGAGAGTTTTGTTTTCTAATCACCTGTAATTTGAATATGTACCTCCACAAGACCCCCTGTGCTTAAAGTAAGGCTGACCACAACTCTGAGATTTATAATGCCAGGATCTTTATAGATCCTATCTAGAGGAACTGAGGGAAGGTGAAGAGTACCCACGTTTTTGTACATCAGCTGGCAGCAAAAAGACCTCAGAATTACATGTTCTCCACCACAGGGCATACTACCAGAAGTTTCCAACTTGGATACAGTAGGCATGTGCATATCTGCAAATTAATTCCATATGTTTTCAATGTACCTCGATGAGTAATTAATAGGAGACTTCTCTCTTGTCTTCTGTTTACATATAGCAAAGCAAAAGAGGCTTTCCTAAAAATGCAGAAAGAACGTGACTTCCATCGAATGCATCATAAGCGAGTGGTCCAGGAGAAAAGCAGGCTTATTAGTGACATTAAAAGGTAAAAAAAAAAAAAATTAATTACTATACATGTAGCACTGAAGATAATATCTTCAATTATTGCTTGGTAATGAGATAACATTGTGGAATTTAAAGTGCTAAAGTAAAGCTGGCTGCATTTAGTTAGTGTTCTGATAAATATCAGTCCCATCTGAGCATTCTGCCATGTCTCTTAAACAATTTCTAATGATTTTGTGGTATATTTTCCATGGTCTGATGTGGCATTAATAAATGCATAGTATTTCTGGTAGTTGAAAATGTGAGATTTTTTTTTAACCAGACCTTTTTCCATAAATAAATAGTGTTTTCAGTCTTTAGATCCTTTGTCCATTTTAAGGGTAATTGATATCACACTGAGTTCAGAGTCTTGATTCTCTCAGCTGCTATTTTCTGTCCTTTTAGATCTTGAACTTCCTACGTGAAATTTGCTATGTTGCTTTGTTTGAAATAAGACCAAACTAGTCCATTGATACTGAGTTACAATAATTTATTTTATAATATTTAATTTCATAACTTTGTCATTCTGGAATTCTGTGAGTTTTCTATTAACTGTTGTGCTACTTTGCCTCCATGAGTAGAACTTTTATATTGTTTATCTGAAGATCAGTGGGCCAGGTGAAAGAGTTGAGTTTAGAATCTTTTCTTTGCATGTGTTTATGCCAGCACTTGTTTTAAAATAACATTAGGGAGTAGCCTACATCTGCAGCTCCAAATAATTAACAAAATTTTGTCGATATTGTTATCAATCAATGCATGTAATAACAGCTACATGTTCTACATCTTCAACCTTGAAACACATATGTACTAATGCAAGAGAGCACTGTTCATTGACTTATCCTCTGTGTATCAGCTTTTTGTAAAATGCAGTATTTTTGAATCTGTTAGTGTTGTGTTTGTCTTGAGAGATTATATATTTGACTTTTAGTTGGTCTGAAGAATTGAAGTGGTTAAATATTCTAGATGTAATGTGCAGTGAAGAAAGAAATAGTAATCATATTATGACTGTTTTGTCTAGGATCTTGGTTGGTAGTCAGATAATTCTTCCAATGAAATACCATCCGTCTTCAAGAAAATGAGAATTATGAAAAACTCATGTGTAGTATTTGTATGAAGAATTAAGGACAGGTCAAAACTGGATGGATTGTTTTAAAAGATATGAATACCAAACTATGAATCCCCTTATTGATCTGACTTTTTTTTTTCTTGTGGTGTTCCAGGTGGGTGGTTCCATACTAAATATCTTTACTGCCGCCTCTGTGTTGACCTTTTGGCATTTTTATTATTTTATTTGGGGAGAGGGAAAGTTACACTGACATAAAATCTCTGATTGAATTAATCTTTGAGGAGTCATTTTCCTCTTCTTGTTCACAGGCTGAAGGCACATTATGCTTCATATGAACCAGTGCTGAAGCAGCTGACGGAAAAATACCAAACTGCACTGAGACAGAAAATGTTAACTAGTTTGGAGAGAGACAGAGCAGTTGGGCAGGTAAAACTATGCTGAACACCACTTGCAAAGCTGCAAGGAATGCGTTTGGTTTTTACTTTGGTAAACACAGAATATTTCTGTTAAAGCAACTCACTTATGCAGTAGTTTGAAGCAGAATATTTTGGTGAGTTTCATGATATTTTTTGAAACTTACAACTTGTTACCATTTGTGCCACAAAGTAGTTCTGAATCTGTACTTGTTCAGTGCTGCTCTACACAAGTCAGCAGTATGCAGACCCTGTTATACTCTCAGTGTTGACAGCTTAAGGGAAGGTGTGATATTCCCACTGATTCACATGCTTCCATCTATGCCTTTAGAAATCTCTTATTTTAACTTTATTACTGTCTGTTTTTTTTTCCTAAATATATCCAGGAATGACCTACTAGTTTAGGAAAAAATACATTAAGATATCAGAGACCATTTTTCTGTCTTGTGAGTGGAATAATAGAGTAGTATTTTGCTCCTATAATCTTATCTGATGTATAGGTTGGTATCCAAGATAGTCTGCCCCTTTAGCTGGAAGTGCTATAAGCACAGGTAGGATGATGAAGAACAGAAAATTATCTTGCATGTGTTTAACCAATAGGCTGTTCAGAAAAAAAAAAAAAGAAGGAAAAAAAGAAAGAAAAAACTCTCCAAATGCATTGCATTTCAGCAGTAGTATCAATTACTTAAGGGTAACATGAAAGAAAATTACCCTGCTTGCACTCTCTTTTAATAGTCTTTATCTCTCTTTTCCTCCTTTCTTCTGCCTCCAATTTTTCTCAGATCACTTGAGGGCTTACTTCTAAATGACTGAGGGTTATATGTTTGAAATTTCAATAAGTGAAAGAATATGTCCTATAGAAAAGAAAGGTTACCGTCCCTATACAGTTATGCTGAATCAGGAGTACAAAACACAGAACAGTTCCAATATTGTGAAATTGTAACATATGAAACATACGTAAGATTTATTCAGTTATGAACTCTACGCATTCTGGAGGGATAATTTTCTTTTTGGTAACACACACAACACCCTATTTTGTGGCATTTTCTTATGACAAAGCTGTATGTCATACTGTACCATTAAGTTAAAGATCAGTATAGTGATAGCAATGGCTAAAACTTGACGGTGCAGTAAGCACCCCAGTATTCTATATGTGCATTGTTTATAGATGGAATTTATTACTTATGCAGACATAAATGCTGTGTGAACAGTAGTTCAAAAGCAATGTTTTCAAATCACCTCCTCTTGTTCTCTCCTCTTTTAAAACTAGGTTACAGGGTTGCAAGCCGCATTACAAAATTTAGAGTCTGGATGTGCTATTCAGATTCCTGTCACAAAAGGTAAAATATCCTCATCACCAAGCTCAGACTGGTTATGGGGTTTTTGTTGTTGTGATTCATTTCAAAATCTGGTGTAACAGTAAATCAAAAATTCTTGCTCTATAATCATTTTATCAGCTGTCCTGGTGACAGAGCAGCAGTTTTATCATTTGAATATTTATTCTAAAATGTATCCACTAAGGACAGTGAGACTGCTGATGGCAATATGGAATATGTGAGTAACTGTAGAAGGACTTTGTTCTAGAAATCTATTTTGTGACTGATTTTGTTATTTTATTCATTAATACTCTTTTTTTTTAATGCAAGTGTTCTTTTTTAGCTAACTCTTAAGAAAATATATATGATGGTCTGGAAACATTTTGAAAATACTGGTGTTATGAAGTTCAACCTCTTATTTTAGCATGTCTCATTTTTACTAGAGGTTCCTAAGGTTATATAATACCTGCTGCAATAATATCTTATCTGTATGGTACTACACTACTTCCCTAGTGTTTTGGATAAATGCAGAATTATTGAATTATTTATTTTTCTGACTCCATCAGAAAAAAAACCTAGCACCTCTGGTTTCTTAAGTAAATGAAGCCCATGCTATGACATTCTTTGTGAGCATCACTCCCACTAATAATTTTGAACCTATTTTCCAATTTCAGCTATATTTGACAGTGAAATAAGTCTCAAAGAGGACAGGTTTTTAAAAGACTCCTGAGAATAGATGAGATGATGAAAAAGGGAAAGAGAGAGCTCTGCCTTCTTTGACAACAAAGTATTCACATGAGAAGGGGATGTTGAACCTGCCTTCGTCATGATTGAAGTTTATTTGACATTAGAGAACCCCAAATTTCTCAGCCACATATGTGACCAATGTAGCAAATATTATACAACTTCCAGGTGAAGCTGTTGCAGTTATGACATTTTTTTATATATCTGTTTATTTTGTGGGTTTTTTCCAGTGTGTTAAAGATCTAAACTTCATTTTGCACTGGTAATATACCCCAGGTTAAAAGCTGGTGAGTTACCCCAGCCTTTGACAATCAAGCTTCATTAGTTCCTATGTTCATGGAGTTACTTCCATTGTATAAAATTCCTGTAGAAAAGACAAGGCTGAGAAGAATAGTAACCACATAAAATTTTTTTGTTTCTTTTTGGATTTGTAGCTGAGTGAAGAGGTTAAGATGGCTGGCTTACTATTAATGCAGGCATTTCATCCTGATCTTTGCCTCCCTATTATAAGCGCAGCACATTCAGTTTGATTTTTTTCCTTTGAATCCTGTCTAATGTAGGTTGAAGAAGCTGGTCTCTGGAATTGTTGTGAATTGCTGTGACCATGGGACTGAGATCAAATTGCCTGAGAAATGCCCCTCATCCTAGCTCAGGTCTTGGTTTCCATGCAGCAGTGGGAGGCTTGTATTGCTGAGAGAGATCCTTGGAGCACACCCTACTCCTTTTCTAAATTGTTTAGTTAAGAACATAGCTGCTTTCATTTCTGGCAAAACTTGAAGGGTTCTGTAGTCTTACCCAGCATAAATTAAGCTATGATTTTATTTTGTATACAAGCAAATAGCTACTAAACTAATAACTTCTGTAAAGACAGACTTCAGGTGTGTTAACACAGTGGAATACTGAAATACTGGCAGAAAACCTCTTCAGCGTTCACAATATGTTTCTGGTTTGGGATTCTAATGACACTTTTTGTATGTACCTCCTAAGCAAGGCACATTTCAGGCTTCCAAAATACCTTTCTGTGGCTGTATGTACTGGATACACTCTGCTGTAGTCTTTAAATCTTGTTATTACAACTAAAAGTATAAGCCTCTGCCCCACTACAGAGCACTGTGCTCTTTTTCATCCCACTTCAGGTAGGGAGGTAGAGAGCGGGATTTTTATGTTAGTTTAGGGCATATAGCATTCAGCTTTTCATTATACTCTGGCTTGAGGATATATAGTGTGGGTTCTTCCCCCATGCTAGTGTTTTACAGTATAGATGCCCCATCTGTCTCTCTTTCATATTACACATACTTTTATTTCTTGTTTGAGTGACTCTAAAAACCACTCTCTGGCTGTTCACAGTACTTGTTTATTCTCCAAAATTCTTGAGAGCCCTTTATAATATCAAAAAGTGACAAGCAGGGGAGAACTTCAAAAAATAATATAAAGAAAAAAAAGTCACTTAGTCCCCAACAGAAATTATTTAGCTCATCAGCCACCCATGTGCTTGTACAAGTCTTAATTTGCTTCATACCTCATGTATCATAAATTAAGCAGTATTTCAGTTCATTTCTTTCCAGTGCCTTGTCCTCTAGTACTATGTAATTTTTATTACCCTCTGTAGGTCATACTCATGTCTCAGTGGTGATAGTGTCTCTTAGTCAGATACTTTCTGCTGCCTCTTGAAGGATGGTCATGTTCTGTTGCCTCCTGAATTCTTATTCCTGAGACAGTATAAGTGCAACCTTAAGAAAAAAGCAGTGCGTAGATACTGGAGAAGTGTTTGCTGCATTTTTCTCTAAATTTAAGTTCTTAGTTTGGAAGGAAGGAATGCTGTTGGACTTGCAGATCTCTGCTGTAAGGGGACCTACAGGTGCATTTTTTCAGTTGCCATTTCTTCAGGGCTGACCTTTATGCCTTAGTACTTCGGTATGTGTTAGTTAGAAGATAATAAACATTCAGACTGGCAAGGTAAGATGCCTTTTGTCAAGGTAAGATGCCTTTTCTGGCCAGCTGTCTGCTTTCACTGCAGTGCAGAGCATGAAGGAAGGAGAATGGCTCTGCCCAGCAGCAGGAGATTGTCCGTCACTGCTCCAGATGCTGCTGCTGTCCCACAACTGACTTGACTGTGCAACATCTGGAATGCTGGCTTTGGCTAGAGGGCACTGAGAGTGGCTTTTAAGTAATTTTGGATTTGCTGAATTGTTTGGTGTTTTGAATAGTGGCAACGAGGTCCTGCACATGGAATCCATTGTAGCTTTGGAGTTTTTTTGTTTTTTAGCTTTTGGTGTTATTGTGGTGAAGGTTTTTTTTTTTTTCTGAGTCATGTGCATAATGAAGAACAAAGGGGAGCTTCGTAGCCTTCACAATGACTTTGCATTGTAAATTTGTATCTGATGGCTAGGTAGAAAAAAATTAACAGTAGTTAATTTTAGGACTATTCTGAATTTAGTACATAGGCATTTGATGTAGCAGCTTTCAGCCTTATTCAAACAATTGAAGAGGATACCATCTACAGTACGGAGCATGTAATTTATTTATTAGGGTTATTTTGCTGTCCCACTGCCAGACTGCTGTTCAGCTTTGCAAACAGCACTTTGTACACAAAGCCTTCAAGAGAAAGTTTTCCTTAGGTGTCTTAAAAATTATTAGAAGGTTAAGATTTTATTTCCTATTTACTTACCTTGCTTGTTTAGTTGATATGAAGGACATTCAGTAGTTGGAGAGGAACTAGTTAACATTTAGGATTAGGACTCGGTGATATTGTAGACTGCTTCTCTGTCCCTGCTGTGCTCACTCAGAAGCCAGCTCTGAAAGAGAAGTTGTATTTTGAGTTCAGATTATTTTGGAAAATGATTGGATGTTTTGTATAAGAAGATTTACATTAAAAACGGTTTTGTTTTAAATCTGGTCCTTCCTGATGTGATATCAAGATCATACATAGAGGGATCTAATTATCAAAGAGAAATAAGTAATTTATCTTTTTTTTTTAGGTTATCGGTGTATATTAACAGAACACTCGCACCTTTACTTATGCATCAAGACACAGGGTTAAGTGGTGCTCTGAAAGACCACTTTTGCCTGAAGGAATTTAACAGTGTTGATTGTGGCTTTCTTATAAACCTAAGTGAATGCTGCTATAACAGCTGGTTCTAAAAACATGTTATAAAGCTGTTACTTGCTCAGTAAGTTTCTTGTATTTTCTAAAAACAACAGCTGCTTATTTATTACCTAATTATATTCAAAAGCTGAATTCAATGAGTTTCTTTATTCATGGTTGAATTAACTCATTGCTAAGCCTGTTAACTGTGCTTTTCCTTTCCTTGATCTAATGTAATTGCTGTTAGAAGGTCATGCAAAAAGAAATTTAAAATGCACCAGTTAAAGTACTTAAACCTTGTTGTCCCTGTTCCATCTACAATTGAATCAGAGTAGAAAATCTGTAAACACAAGCTGTTGACATCTTAGTGCAATCCAACAGTTCTTTATAATTTGCTCAGGGTTTTTTTTAATGGTTACTGACTTTTTAAGCACTTCAACTGTCATAACTCTGTTGGTTTATAAGTACGTGTATTTCAAAAGCACCAACAAACCAAATGCTCCATGAGGAACCTGCTAGTGGGTAGAAGTTAGTGAGTGTGTAGAAAGTGTTTGACATATAAACCAATCTTGCAGCATACAGTTCTTCAGAGAAAGGTATTATTCAGACTATCTGTGACAGTAACTTTAACTTTTAAAGTAGAGAGAATATAGATATTTTGTTACAACAGGCATGGTTCTTTATCAGCTACAGTTTTAGTTGGATTGGGGGTTTTGTGTTTGCTTGATCCACTTTTTTTACCTCAAGAGTGGAGAGGGTGGTAGGTTTTTTTCCTTTAAGTCAGAATGTTTGCATCTTGGTGTCAAAGTCTTAATAAAACTATTTTACAAGAGCAAGTATTTAGAAATTCATAGTGTCAAATACTTTCATTCAGTCTGGATTTTAGCTATATAATGTGTTTTTCAATCTGAGATTTTTATTTTTTATTTTAAGAACTGGAGGGGTGTAAGGGCCCAAATCCTGTTGGAATTCAGTATTCCAGTCTTCTTCCTGTAGACCCATGTACATACTGCAACAAGGTGCAGGGGTCACCAGGGACTGTATTCAGATATATGAGCTGCCAATACAAAGACTGTCAGAGAATAGTATTCTTTCTGCTGGATCGTGGCAGATGGGTTGTACTGTAGCCCACATGTGCTGTACTGTTCCTCATATTCCTTTCAGCCTATTCTGATGATTTACAGTTATGCTACCTGCTTAGGATTTCTTTGCTGAGTTACCTATTCATAAGTAATCCTTGTTTGAAAGGTGGGTTGGGAGAAAGTGCAGGGAAGCAAAAGGGAATGCAGGCTGTAAATCAGAATAATGCATTGGTGGTAGATATTGGGTAGGATGCAAGGAGATGATGTTTCTTCTGGCTCTGAGGAAAAAGAAGAATTGCATCCATTTTACTGGGATGTAATGTACTGCAAGATTTAAAATCTTTGTTGCATTTTGGGGGCAGAATTTAGGGTACTGTTAGGTAAGCTGAAATAGATCACATCAAAATGATTTGTGGAGCAGAGTTACATGTAGTCTTGGAATACTTATCTTTTATAAAAGATATTAATATCTGAGTATCTTTTTGAAAAGTGGTGTTTCTTTTAGAATTTCACATGTCTAGCTAATATTAAGTAAAGAGATATCTTCCAGAAGACTAAGTAGAAAATGAATTCTGATTATATTTTTGTTGATTTTATTTTATAGCAGGCCATGATTGTCAAAGGAAGAAAGGGTTGGGTCCCACCCAGAAAGCTCTGCGGGAAGCCAGGCAGCAAAAATTCCTTGATGCTGAAAGCTCTTCCTATGATCCCATCAAAGATGCAGAGGAGAAGATAGGCAAGACACTCAAAGGTATGCAGCAGGGGAGGTTCAGACTGGACATAAGGAAAAAAATTTTCACAGAAAAAGTGGTCAGACAGTGGAATAGGCTGACCAGGAAGAGGGTGGAGTCACCATCCCTGGATGTGTTTAAGGGTCAAAATTAATTCCTTATTGAATTTTTTTATTGTTGAAAGGAATTTTTGTTTACTTACTGTATTCTACTTGGTGTATTTATTGAGGTTGCATTTTTGGGACTATTTAACATTGCTTTTTATTTTTCCAAATTAAGGTAAAATTTTAATACCTGAAATGTCTTAATCTCTTAAAACTGTTATACTGGCCTCTTTTTATTTGAGAATCACAGCGTTTAAACTGTGCTTTTTGAGTAGAAAAAAAGCTTTAGTTTACAGTGATGTAGACAGAATTGGCTTCAGTCTTTTCTTTCCCTGTCTCCACAAGAATTTCTCTATGGTGATTTATTTTTAATTCGTTTCTATCTGGTTTTGCAAGGGCATTTCTTCTGTCTGACACTGTTAATGCACCTCTTCTCTGACAAACATAATTTTATTTCTGTTTTCATCACTTTTCATTCTCCCAAACCTCCAAATAAAATTAAAAAAACCCTATATATTCTATTACTTTCTGAAATGCTTCTCACCACATATTGGAAATAATTTTCTGTACTGTCTCCCCACCTATTAGTACCTGAGTCATACTCAGGTACACACCTGCCAGTTAGTCCATCTCCACCTTCCCTGCTTTTCATTTGGTGGCTGGAAGCTTTCATCTTAGTCTCTTATTGATATCTCTTATTTTCATTTTGACTTGTGAATAGATAAGTATTTCTTGGCTTATGAAATCTTATTTTTTGTTCCTGTTTCTACTGAAGTCATCAGGATTTTTATAGTAAACTTCAGCAGAGTTATGCTTTGCTCCTAGTATATATAAATCCTACACAGGTAGTATGCCCGTCTGGCTCTTTCTTGTTCTTTGAAATTCATGAGCACTGTTAGTTGACTAGTTCTGGCAAGCATCTGTGTTTCTGCAGATCTTATGTTTCCCAAATGAGTCCTACCAGAGGCCCTGATGTCTTTATTTAATCAATGGATTAGAAGACTGGAGTGGCTCCAGAAATAAGACATCAGAAAATATGGGCCTGTTTGAATGTACTAGATTTTACCATGGCTAAGCAATAATCTGAAACTATAGGTGCACGACAAACATCTTTTCAAACACTAGAACAGTACCTCTTCTTCACATTTCCTGGATCTATTACTTCTAAATATTTCCTTTCCCCTAACAAAGGATACTACCTTAGATACCGCATGTGAATTGTCTTATTTCTCAGGCTGTTAGAAATAAATGGCAGATGGAATGATGAGTTTGTAGAGAGTGAAGGGGTGAGTTAAAAGTTTTTAACAAAGATATTCACAGAACTCTGTCCCGTAGTGCACATTTATTGAACCTACAGTTTTAATCTAAGCTATTTTAGTAAAACAGTGCCTTCTTGCTCAACAGTTTAGTTGTCTGAGTAGTTGTTCCAGTCAAAAGGATTAGGTATAAAGGAGTGCCTTGCCTTCCTTAGATCATTTTATGTGATACTTGGAATCAAACTTGTGTGGTGCCTCATCTCCTTTGTCCTATATCAAAAGAGATAATTTTGAATTCTGCTGTGTCTTGTATGTGTCTTTATTGAAGAGTGTACCATAAATAATAGTCTTGTTCTCATTTACAATAATGAAAATAACTCTTTAAATGTTTTGGGGGGAGGGTAAAATTGACTTACACATATTAAGATTACACTTCATTTAAATTGTCCTTAATACCACAAAAGAAGTAATAGTCAGTACATAAATAGTTCAGTTCCATGGGGTTCAGGTGAGGAATATATAGAAGAAATAAATGCAGTTAAAACCCCTGTATTCAAACACTGCATTTATGACAAAATAGAGTAAAAGAAACCAGAAAGTTATGGGAAATCTAGGTAAAATTCACCGTCAAAATGTTTAGCTCTCTTCAGTAAATGTAACTGAACATTTAAAGTTTACGAAACTTTAGAGTGAACAGTTTATCCAATTTTAAAATTTAGGCATTTGGATTATATCACGTTCAGTAAAAAGCAAATACTTTGTCATGAAATTGTATCCTTGAGACAAAATTATAAATGTTTGCATTAACTGTACTGTTACATAGGAGTGAACTATGATTTAAAATCTTTTTTGTGTCTTACAGCTAAATAGTGATCTAACAAATGTCTGTGCTTACTTTTAAGTAGATGCAAATATGACTCATAGCTGAGCTAGAACATTTACTTCAAGGACAGACATATATTGTGTTATTGTAATATCCTGTAAAAACTGACGTGTAATTTAAAATCTAAGGTCCCTTTGATATGAAGTTTATCACTGAAACAGTGAAGAAGCAACTGGAATTTTTCTGAGGGAATGTATTCTGATTTTAAAGTCTTTGTTACAAGACTCAATTAAATTTTACAGTAACAGGCTATTAGGCTAAACTGTTTACATATCTCGCCCTTAATAAGCCAGTATCAATAGCATAAATATTCTTAGATTAAGAATGTGCATAGAGTACTGCTTTAAACATTTAAATTAATTAAAATGCACTCACAGGTCATTAAAAGTGTAGAGAACCTTTGATAATATGATTTTCATTATCCTGTTGAAATATACTTTTCCTGTTTTTATATTTTTATTCTCCCAGGTTCCTCACAGAGTACATTCTATGTTTGATTGCTTTCATTAGTTATTAGCAGGACAATTGCAACTTCTTTATGTTCAGTAAATTCTATTTTCACGTATAATGTATTACAATGCAATTTCATTTTCTGAAGTTTTATTTGGCGTACAACTTGATCAAAATGCACATTGGACACTTTGGAGTTAACATGTCTGTTTCTGTGGAACAGATTTTGAAATTATGGCCAATCGTATATTAATAAATGCAGAACTAAAATCCAGTGATCATACAAACATAGCTTTTGTAATTAACAAGACTTTCGGTTGAAATATCACATATATACATGTATAATACCCAAGTTTTTCCTCAGTTCTATGGAAGAAAACATACAAAATTTAGATCTGCTGTTTCTGTGCTCTCAAACAGAAGGGAAGGGTCATGTCCCACTCAGATGAGGGAGATAAGTGGTTCAGATTTTCAAATCCCTGACGGAGTGGACAATGGTGAGTCTTAAAGTCCAAGCATTTATTAACTACCCACAATGTACTAATTGAACACACAATAACTGGCTAAGTGTATAGCGAGTTGTGCTAAGCAGTACAATATGCCTTGCATTTCTTAATGATAGTGAAGGAAAAAGGGGGAAAAGGAAAGGGGGGGAGATAGAGGGAATAGAGTAATAGAGATCACGTGTCTGAGTTTCTGCATTGATCCTGCAGTGAGGGTTCCAGGAGGCATCTGTCTTTTTTGCTTGTATCTGTCTTCACTGCACACACACACACCCCCCTTGCCCCCCCCCCC